ACTAAAGCCAGCTAAAATTTTCTGTTATGTTGCATGTTTTATGAATCTATTCACATCTAAATGCAGCACTTTTTTTTCAATGAGACATTTGTTTTTATACTAAAATATCTGAATTACTTTAAAGAAAGCTGGAAATTATGTCCCTTAAAATAATTAAACAAATAAGGCACCAATGTTTTTGTAAGATATTTACATCTTTTAAGGACATTCGGTAGACTGATTCCCCACTGTTGGTTCAACCCCAAAACTTGTTTGTATTCATAATTAATTATGACAATGCATATTTATATTGAAACAAACTATGATAAAGGGAATTATATTATATAACAAAGGGCAAGGTCACCAGAGTTCAACTATGTTTCTACTAATAGTGAGGTATGTAATATGAGGCATATTATGTATGTTTTGGCACCATTTGCAACGACTCCCTGAGAATCACTTACTATTTAGAAACATATGTCAAACGACATTTCAGGGTTGTTATGCACACCGCTATATTAAAGCTGAACATCGTTATAAATAAAATTCTGGTTGTCACTAGTAACTAGTCACCGTCTTACAACCAAACCAGTCATCGTCTTACAACCAAACCAGTCATCGTCTTACAACCAAACCAGTCATCGTCTTACAACCAAACCAGTCATCGTCTTACAACCAAACCAGTCATTGTCTCACAACCAAACCAGTCATTGTCTCTCAACCAAACCAGTCACTGTCTTACAACCAAACCAGTCATTATCTCTCAACCAAACCAGTCACTGTCTTACAACCAAACTAGTCACTGTCTTACAATCAAACCAGTCATCGTCTTACAACCAAACCAGTCATCGTCTTACAACCAAACCAGTCATTGTCTCACAACCAAACTAGTCATTGTCTCTCAACCAAACCAGTCACTGTCTTACAACCAAACCAGTCATTGTCTCTCAACCAAACCAGTCACTGTCTTACAACCAAACTAGTCACTGTCTTACAACCAAACCAGTCACTGTCTTACAACCAAACCCGTCATCGTTTTACAACCAAACCAGTTATTGTCTTACAACCAAACCAGTCACTGTCTTACAACCAAACCAGTCACTGCTTTACAACAAAACCAGCCATTGTCTTACAACAAAACCAGTCATTGTCTTACAACCAAACCAGTCATTATCTTACAACCAAACCAGTCATTGTCTTACAACCAAACCAGTCACTGTCTTACAACCAAACCAGTCATTGTCTCAGAACCAAACCAGTCACTGTCTTACAACCAAATCAGTCACTGCTTTACAACGAAACCAGCCATTGTCTTACAACGAAACCAGTCATTGTCTTACAACCAAACCAGTCATTATCTTGCAACCAAACCAGTCATTGTCTTACAACCAAACCAGTCACTGCTTTACAACGAAACCAGTCACTGCTTTACAACGAAACCAGCCATTGTCTTACAACGAAACCAGTCATTGTCTACAACCAAACCAGTCACTGTCTTACAACCAAACCAGTCATTGTCTCACAACCAAACCAGTCATTGTCTCACAACCAAACCAGTCATTGTCTCTCAACCAAACCAGTCACTGTCTTACAACCAAACTAGTCACTGTCTTTCAACCAAACCAGTCACTGTCTTACAACCAAACCAGTCACTGTCTTACAACCAAACCAGTCACTGTCTTACAACCAAACAAGTCACTGTCTTACAACCAAACCAGTCACTGCTTTACAACAAAACCAGCCATTGTCTTACAACCAAACCAGTCATTGTCTCACAACCAAACTAGTCATTGTCTCTCAACCAAACCAGTCACTGTCTTACAACCAAACCAGTCATTGTCTTACAACCAAACCAGTCACTGTCTTACAACCAAACCAGTCATTGTCTCAGAACCAAACCAGTCACTGTCTTACAACCAAATCAGTCACTGCTTTACAACGAAACCAGTCATTGTCTTACAACCAAACCAGTCATTATCTTACAACCAAACCAGTCATTGTCTTACAACCAAACCAGTCACTGCTTTACAACGAAACCAGTCACTGCTTTACAACGAAACCAGCCATTGTCTTACAACGAAACCAGTCATGTCTTACAACCAAATCAGTC